TACTTGGAAGGCTGAGGCGGAAGGATTTCCGGAGCCCAGCAGGTCAAGGCTGCGGTGGCCGGGAGCGGCCACTGCACTCCAGTCGAGGTGACACTCCAACTCAATAAATAAATAAATAAACAAACAAACTGTGAATCTTCACTCTTTATCCCCACTGTATAGATGCGATAGCTGAGGCGCTTAGGTACCTCATCCAAGGCCACACAAATAATAAGTGAGAAAACTGGGACCCGAACCCCTGACCAACTGAGTCCAGAATTCTACTCTACTAAGATAGGCATTTGCTCCAAGGAAGCAGGTGAGTGGAAGTAAGCCCTGAGGCCCAGCCACCTTCCTGACCTTCCAGGTCTAGAATCTTCACAAACATCCACAGGGTCAGGCATCCAGTCAACCACAGCTCCTAGAATCTGCAGTCCATGCCACAGGGACAATGCCTCCTGTCACTCATTTTAGTCATGTCACCTGCCCCACATCCATTTATCTTTTTCTTAGGCCTAACATGGGGCTTTACCATCCCCTCTTTTGTCCCCTCCCCAACTGTTTACTATAGGTTCACCAGATCACCTGTCAGAGTTGACATATATATATATATTTTTTGAGTTGGAGTCTCACTCTGTCGCCCAGACTGGAGTGCAGTGGCTGTTCCCGGCCACTGCAACCTCGACCTGCTGGGCTCTGGCGATCCTTCCACCTCAGCCTTCCGAGTAGCTGGAACTACAGGCACGCGCTACCATGCCCGGCTCATTTTGGTTTATTGTAGAGATGAGGTCTCACCAAGTTGCCCAGGCGGGTCTCGAACCTGCGGGCTCAGGCAATTCACCCACTTCAGCCTCCCAAAGTGCGGGATTACAGGCTAAGCCACCGAGCCAGGCTAGAGTTGACATCTTAGCAGACAAGCTGGGCCCTTCACCAGATTCATCTCTGTGCTCCACCCCTAACATTTTGTAATAATACTAATTGCAATAGAAATAGCAATGTAGGCCGGGCTTGGTGGCTCAGCCTGTAATCCCAGCGTTTTGGGAGGCCAAGGTGAGTGGATTGCCTGAGCCTGTGGGTTCGAGACCCGTCTGGGCAACTTGGCGAGACC